CACTTTTTATATAGTTCTGAAGCTCGATTTAATATTGTTTGTTTCTCTCTTCTAAGCCTCTTTTCTTATAAATACTGTTATTCAAACATAAGTAAGTGTAATTATTGCTCTATAATTTTAATAAAAAGGTAACATGAATGAAAGGAATTAGACTCTTATAAATCGAACATTACTAGATTTCGGTACGGGACGTCTGAGATAATCATATTTTATATATTTAAAATACAAATATTATAAAATATTTTAAACCTATAAACCCCTAACAAATGAACGTGAATTAGGAGGAGGTTGTTTTTCAGTAGAAATATTTTCAATGCGACCTAAATGAATATTCCTCAGTTTCTTGACTGATCAAACAAAATCCACTCGAGTATAGTGGACAAAATAGTCCACATTTAATAATATAATTTCTTAGAAAAATTTTTGTAAAAATCTAATTATTTACCTTTTATGTTAACTTATGTATTTTTTTCTCAATATTTTCAGTAATGATCTCTAATATTCATATACATGTATATGAAATATATCATAAAGAAACGAATTACGGTGATGAAAAATTTGGAATCCGTTTTATCTACGTAAATATATTATTTGAAGTCAAAATAGCCAAATTAGAAAAATTGCGTGCGTGTGGGTTTGTTTGCATGTGAATAGCCTGGCTTAGTTCCCCAAATCTTTATAAATTTGAAAGTTATGTCGTGGTTGTTATTTACAGGTTGTTGGTTACAAGAGTTCATTCGTTATAATACATTTTAATAGTTAATGATCACATATGAGGAATTAGTAAAAATGAATCTTTGCACAAAGGAATTAGTTTTTGCTGTAAAAACATAGTTTGTGACTAATATTAATGATATCATGATATTATTTTCTTGAAATAATCAGAAGCTCTGCGATTTGCATAAAAATCACCTTATGTCAATCGGAACTGTATTTTTATTAATTTATTCTTGCTCCTGAAATTTAACCAATTGCCATTCCGTTCAGAAAATAATAATTCCAGATTATTACCGCCCAGGTTAGTTAACATAAGATAATACATTACAAATAAATTAACATACAAATGAGGTTCCTCCATGTTTGCTTTAGGGACCGTTTTAATTAATCGATTCAGTTATATGGATTAAGTGAAATAATACTTTAGATAAATTATAATTATATATCGATTTTCATTTTGCATATACGTAATTTAATGTGCATATGATTCTTTAAATTTTTCACTTATTTTAACAGAAAAATATTAAATAATGTTGTAAAAAGGGTTGCAGATGATCCATCCAGCCATGACCAATTTTTCTCTCTTTCAGGAGAATTTATTTTCTTACAAAATTAATAATTTTAAGTTGTTTGTTTTTATCCCTTGCTTCTTCTTCGGTTCCTGATAACCCTCCGAGGCTTCTGTAAAGAATATGGACCCCGTAATCTCCTTATGTATTTATATTATTAGAGTGCTACTAATTGGTTGTAATTCTCTAATTCTCAACAAGCGTTTTCATGTGATTATATTCCTCTGTACACGTTTGGTTTATGTATTTATATTAATACAGGCGTAAATATTATAAATAAAAAAAAAGTTTCTTTTTTCTATTCATCAAATTCTTTTATTGAATTTTTTTTTTAAGACGGCGTTTATGGAATAATGTATTTAAGCTTTGATTTTATCATTGCTAAAGATGGTGTTCTTGCCCTAAATTATAAATGTCACAGATCGGCATGCTGTCATTACAATTTTTACATTGAGGTGGCTCTTTCTTTGTTACATGGAAGGAGTATGTAAGTCTTGTGTGTTGAGTCAGTTACATCTCTCCACGACGACTATCTACTGTAATTAATGCTAGGAATATTATCTCTGTTTACAGAGGCTATTCAGCGGAATGGCTAATTATTGTTGTATAGTTTTATTTTTATGACCTCACAGTGGGGAAGATAAATCTTTTACATCCCTCAATCCGTTAAAACTCTGCAACATTAAAATTTTATCATGATCGTATTACTCCACAGCATCTATGAAAACTAGTACTTTCTTAGTATTTAATGATATTTTATAAACGTATACATCCAGGCTGTAAATCAGATTATCGAGAATGCAAATGAATAAAACTTCTCTCTATGCCTTTGTTTTCTTGACTTCAGAAGGCATTTGATAGTACTCTACATGCAGGAATATTTAAAACACTGAGAATAATAGGAATAGAGGGAAACTATGTTTCAATAATCACGGAACTTTATAAGGAAATGTCGGCATATTCAAAGCTTTAAGGGTGGAGAATATTCGGCAAGGCGACCCGTTATCCTCACTTTTGTTTATACTTGTGTTGGAGATGGTATTCTAGCATCTTGGATGGGAAAACAAATGAATCAAAATAAATGGAAAATGGTTAAGCAACTTAAGTTTTGCAGATGACATCGTGTTTTTTGACAAAGAAGCATGTCTTACATCACATGTCTCACAACATCTGCGGGAAATTATCAAGCATCTTTTAACTGTGTGCGGTAATTGGCCTTTACTCCAACTATCAGAAGACTAAATTAATGATAAATAGGGAAAAGTAAGAATGTAAAGTAAACAACAACAGTTCGGAATAGGTAGAGGAGTATATCTACTTGGGCCAGTTAATATAATTCGCAAATAGAGGAACTGAGGAGGTCCAGAGGAGAATGGCACTTGGTTGGTATAAGTTCTTGTCTTCAAGCACATTATGAAAAGAAATATAACTATTGATCTGAAAAGAAATTTGCATAATTTCTGTGATTAACTTATGGATGCTAAGCTTGGACATGGACCAAAGCTCTAGAGAAAAAGATCCGGGTTTGGCGGAATGACATCGGAAGATGTATTATGAATGTGAGGAAAAAGGACAGAGTGAGAAATGACTGGATCAAAAAAGAAACAGGACTCACAGATACCCTTAGGCGGACTCGAGTTAGCCTCCCCGGACCATCTCCTTCCTTTAAATTTATAAATATTTCAAGAGAAAAAAATAATCGTATTTCTATATCTCAATTCCATTATTGGGGGAAGGGAGAACCTCTTGAAATTGTACAATTTTATACAAAAATAAATTTTCTAATCTAAGTACTTCTAAATATGTTTTAATAAAATGGTTGACACATATACATAATCGAAGGATTGAAAAATTAAAATCAATACATTCCATTCACTCGCACGAAATCGTTTATATTAATACATAAATTCTAGTGTTGCCCAAATGCGAGACCGTGGCGACTCTTGGTCTTGCAAACTCTGTCTTACTCTTGCTAATTAATTAATTAAGCTTATCCTGAGTACGTAACATTAACACATATTTAAATTAATTATAGATATATATTTTCAGTGGTAGGTATGGTGGTACCACTTGGAATCCGGTTGAATAAAAATGTCATGTGCATCTGATTGTAATGTATAAATCGGAAATAATGTCGGAAAATCTGTAGTATTTATATTTTGTGAAACTTTACCCATGAGGTTTTCTTGAAAATATTCCAATGTAGGCTTAAAACTGACAAATAATTTGTGGCCCTATTCATCCGTAGACTTCTCTGAGATGCCATCAATGCCACTATCTTAACAAAATCTTATGTATGATTTCAAGAACCATAACGACAAAAAAATAGACAAAAATAAATGCTATGCAGTCCCAGAATGGCCTAAAATATACTATAGTGATACTATGGCTACTATACTATCGTGGTTAGGGGTGGTTAGGGACAGGAAAAAAAAAATTACTTCGAGACAGGAAAAACAATTCAGAACCTGAATCCTACTACCAAATTTGAGAGAAAAGGAAACCAAGTTTAATAAATGTATATATATTGGACAAGGAGCGGGGTAGCTCAGTAGGTGAGCACTGACTCCCAAAGCTCAAGGTCCTAGGTTCGAATCCGGCTGATGACAAGTGATTTTTCATTAGCAGATCGACCCTTGGATTGGGAGACCCTCCTGGTGCACACCCACGGTAAATTGGGTACTTTTAATTAAATAACTAATTAAGGGGGGAAACCAGGTGGTTGAGCGTGATATTGGCATAATCACCACTCTGCACAACCGTTGGGCTTCCTCACATAGTATTGAATCCAAGACCCTACAGGGCTAGTTGGCGGGGTGGCCGAACGGGCTGACGTGTGTGCACAGCACCGCCGTTGCCCGGCAACCTGATATATGAGACAATAGATTTTAAATAGTCACGAGTTAGCGTTCCGGTGCCGCGGGACTCTTTTAAATCCCCGCCCACACCCCCTAACTCGGGAAAACCCCGTATAGCCAGCCGTATATAGTAAAGGCGAGGACAAAAAAAAAAAAAAAAAAAAAAAGACACTACAAGGTTGTATTGAAACAGGTTTACATTTTAATACACCCGCTTGTTTTGTCTCTTCTAAAAAATGCACTTTTCGAAATATGTTTCATATAGTACATCATAGCATAGGATTTGATGCTTTGCTGAATCGATTACAACTTCATCAAATGTTTTTTGGAATTCAATTGTTTAAGGTTTTATAATTGTTACGATTTTCAATGTTTTTAGCCTATCAAATTTTCGATTCTCCAAAGCTAATTTTAAAACCATTATTTCAACACCTCCGAAACAGAATTAATTATAAAAAAGTGAACGAGGATAAAACAGAATCTATGTATATAATATTTCATGGATATCATTATTTCTTCAAAATAATATTAACGCTTAGGAGTACATCTTATAACCTTACTATTTCTTCGGTTGGCTAGCGACCTATGTTGAAATTTTGTTCCCCTGACATAATGTCGATAGCCTGAGAGATGTTGGATAAGAATTACTGACCATCCATTTCATTCCCTCGGAAAATCATCCTTATCCACCCCCACCCTCCCACCCTTGTATTATTTCTCATCAGGCTGGAAGACCGAATTACTCCAGCCTGCTATTGTTACTGCTTTCATATTTCAAACCCTTCTCATTCCTCCACTCGTCTTTATCTGAGGTTACGTCTTCTAAAGGAGAATTCCCATTACATCTACTCGCCGCATGGATAAGCTTAATATTTTAGTAGATATTTCCCTTTATGCTTCCGCTGGGCCCATCCCTTTACAGCATCCTATTATGTTCCGTACTGCTTATAAAGTCGGCTTGAATACAGTTTTTTTCTTTAACTATAGTAAAATAAATTTCTGTTAAATTACATCAATATTTATTTTTTTATTAAAATTTAATTTAACTAATCATAAATTTTTATATTAATGCTGGTTCTTTGTTTTCAGTACGAGTTCAAAGCGAAAGGGATAAAGAAGAAAAAAGTCACATTAGAGATCTCAGTAGAAGGTGTTCGAGTCACATTGAGGAAGAAGAAAAAGGTAATTAAAATTTATTTTAAATGTTATTAATTGATTAATTTAATTTAGTAGAGTTAAATCACTTTGACTCCATAATATAAAGTTAATGTCTAGCAATGCAGTCATTTTTTCAAGACTCTCGTTTTCAGATAATAGGTTTATCTTTTTTTTTTCAATAAATCATTTATTAATTAATACAGTAATTATTTTAAATCAAGCCAAATTTGTTTAATAAGATCTTCTTCGAGGTGAAAAGTTATGTTTTTTTTTTTTATTTGTATGTTATTCTTTTTTGGCCGTTCTAACTCCAACCAAATCATACTTGAATTAATTTTATGGTTATCGATATATCTGTCACTAAATTACCAAATGGCACAGGCGGATTTACGGGGGGAGGGAAGGCTTTCGTGCTGAAGCCCTCCCAAAATGGTAAAATGTAATAATGTTTTATGGTAAAAAATGTTAAAAAATTATGTCTTAAAGTATTATTGCTCGTTTAATTACATTTAATAGGACTTAAAGAATCACTTAAACACCATTTCATATAGGTAGTTAGTATCTTTCTGTTTTTCTAAAGTAATTATCGTTTTATATATGAAAAAAAAGCTTCCGGGCTGAAGCCTCCCCCCCCCCAAAATTAAATCCTAGATCGGTTAGTGCCAAATGATGATATTTCCTTATACTGCTACAAAATTCATTCAATTTTCAAAATAGTTCATATATTGAATTTTAAGTAATTAGTTAATAATTACACTTGTCGTGTACATAATAATAAGTTTTTATTACAAAAGCATAACCCATATTTCTTTTCATATTAGACTGGCGGAACTTTGACTTATGTACGTATTTTTTTTAAACTTTACTTGAAAGACCTAAAGCTTTTCGGAATTTTAGAATAATAAATAAATTTCAGGTCTCTATTTTGATTTTGACTATCATTTTATTAATTAAAAACGACTTTAAATTAGTTTTCCTACTCTAATTTATAAGACCTATAAATGTTGTAAATTATAATTTATTATACGTTGGTAGGAATATACGGTTACATTTTTTTGTTACACTTGTGCCAGCTGAGTAAATATTAGTAGTTTTTTTTGGGGGTACTTGATTTATATCTTTCAATTTCGTGTTTCTAGTCTACAAAAAATTAAGTATTAATTAATTAGAATTCCAAATGATTTTTTTTTTCGATTTTACGGATATTTGAACTGTATTATTTTTTCTGCGCATGGTCACCCAAATAAAAGGAGTGTAATTAAGATTTATCTGCGTTTTTTAATAGTTTTTTTTTTTTTTTTAGAAAACTGGTTGAATCCAAATGTAAACACATTACCTTTACACTTTGTCGTAAATCCTGTCCACTAGTTTATTTCAACACCTAAATCTAAATCTTCGAACAATAGTCGACGTTCCTTTCTATGTAACCAACAAAATCCTACATCATGACCTCAACATCCCATTTGTCCTAGACCTTATTCCAGAAAAAATCTCCAAATTTCACCAGAATCTTACGTATCATCCAAATCCTCTTGCACAATCCCTATCCCTATAATCCTCCAAGATGGTTAAAACGGCAGTGGATCCGCGACCTTTTGTAGATTGTATATATTGGAGTTATGCAATGGCCAGATTCTCCACTCAAGATATGAGTGTACGTGGCTAAAGTGCTCTCGATCAATCTCCGCTGGCTTTAGTACCAGTAATGTGGTTGAGAGAGTAGCGCAGGGTTCCCCTGGAGTCCAGCTTTTTCCCTCTATAGTTGGAGGGACAAGCCTGCCTAGGAGTTCCCTTGCCTGATTGCAAATAGTGTATCTAGGTATGCATGTATTTTTCTCTTTGTTTTAATTTTCTTATTTTTAAGTTGCTTTATTTTATTTATTGTATATACTGTTGATTATTATTTATTGTTATTTTGCTTCTATTTATTTTTTATTTTTCTGTACATATAATAAGAATGTTATCTACATCACTATTACTAATGTCCAAGTGATAGATTGTTGTAGTACTAATAAATAAATAAATAAATGGTAAGAAAATTCCTCATTTTACAGTTGACCCCCTAGTGTGCTTAAACTGTAGGATGGAGGTTCTGTAGCTTAAACTCTGTTTGTAATGGGAGCAATCAGTGGCCACAAAAACAAATTGATCCGACCAAATAACCCCAGCTAATTTTATTTGCTATCCTAAGCTAGAGCATCCTTTTTCTAACAAATTAAATAAAAACATTTGGTTATCTCAGGTCTTCTCCTGATTAACTCACATGTCTGCACTCCTATACAACTATATATAGATCATTGCGGTGTTCATTAGAATATTACCGGCTGTTACAGGCTTTATAACACGCAGTCATGTCAAATTTTTTGATAGCCTGCAATACGCGGCTAACCCACTTTTTAAGACACTAATTCCGACGGGACGGCCAGAGTGGTGACAAACGCTTACAAAAAGCCTCAGACTTGACGAGACTGAGGACTACTAACTAACTCGACTGATACTAGACAACCAGTGAGCCACATCACTAGGCAACTTCTCAGCATGTAGCAATTTTTAAAACACTTAAAATGCATAGGAACAATTCAGTACAAGGGAACTCATCGCATGAAGAAACATATGAAAATCCCAACCACCGATCTTTGGAGATAATAAAAAATAAAAGAAAGATAAAAATCATTAGAATGATGGATAATATATTTTCTTAGATCTATAATAATTAATATTATCATGTTTACCTTTCATTTTTTTTTCTAATGGCCTACCTAAACGATTCGGGTATCAATCCCACTTCTTCTTTGAGGCCCCATTAGTTAGCCTAAATCCTATAATAGATGTAATACCCAGGGAGGGTTTTTTTTTTTTTTTTTTTTTAAGGACTCATAACAAAAAAAAATAATAGTAAAATTTTATTTTAATAAATAAAAGTATTGTTTAAAAATTTTTATATAATTTTAACAACGTGTATTCCTCGTGTTTAGTTGAATAATTTGCCAACGCAATAAAAATGTAGTATGAATTATTTCCAAAAACAAATCGAGTAAATAAAACTCAATACTCTTTCAGTCTTGTTCAATACGTAAGTTCATTCGTGAAGTATTATTGTTTAATTAAAGTGTGCTAATAAGATTAATTAAGTTTATCTGAATAAAATAATTTACTAAATAATGGAAAATTTACTGTTTAAAACAGTAAACTGCTTATTAAATTGTTTGTCAAACATTATTTTCTGTTTGCTGTGAACTATGGTTTATCTTGATGACTTGATGAAAGGAGTATAGCCGATTTGGTATTCATTCCTGAATAGATTGCTTAGGAGTGTGTACTCATGTTATAATTTAATTGTTTGTAGGTATTATTTTAATAGATGTTCTTGTATTGATAGCACTTTATATTTGAAAAAAAAAAGTTTACTTGGCGTGATACCGCAGATCATAAATTATAATACATGTCACCGTGGAAATTCAATAAATTAAAAAAAAAATGTTTGTGTAAATATGTCACAATAGGAATTCTAATTTCTCTAAATCAGATAACTAAAGGTATTAAAAATTACAAAAAAAATCTTTAATTCGCAGCCTACAAAAAATCGTTAAAAAATCTATATAAAAAAACTAATCAAGTCAAAACTGTTAGTAATAGATTTGTTATATATGTATGGATTCAGTTACTACTGATATACAAAAGAAAAAATTAATGTGATTCATGCAGTTTCAAAATTAATTTTTAAATATTTTTATTTGAAGGTTGGGAAGACATACACGACTAATTATAATTTCGGGGTTGTATCTCATTATTAAAACTTCGTGAATATCAGCCTGATTACTTCGAAATAATATAATAAAGAACTTTTTTTTTCCTATTATATTTTATTGCTATGCCAAAAAATACTGAAATTAACTTCTGAATCTATTTTTGTTTTCTTGTTCCTAGTTCAACACCTAGCAGATTAGCAAGAAGTTATTTTTATAATCATACATAATTTTTTTCTTATACATTAATAGCTGTAATTGTAATATAATCTGACTATGATAATCAGGAGGATATATGATAACAAGATGTTAACTAATAAATAAATGGATATACCTATTGAAATGACCAATTTTTTATTGACCTTATCAGAAAAAATAGTTTTCGATTTTTTATATGAGCTTAAACCACTTTAAAAATTATTTTTAAGTTTGTCACTACCATAAAAAAACATGTTGCATGAGTTAACCGTGAAAATATTGTTTTCATCCTTGATTATTTTATTCATCAGTACCAGGACGAAATCAAATGTTTGCGTAGCGCTACAGTGACAGCGAAATGACTTAGTGTTGGTCGTAGATTTTTATTGAAACTGCATCGATCCGTTTCTAGCCACGGGGGAATATAACTCAAGATAAAGCGTACAAAAAGGGTTGGCAGGAAAATCGCATCCATTGTCTACTGAGGTCGAAGGAAATCTCGGGCATAACTCAGACAGCTGTTGAAAGCTTTTCTTCGTCGCCAGGAGGAAATCGCATCTCATTCGCTGTAAACATCCGCGCTCTAGGGAACCTTATTTCCTCCATTTTTGCGGCTGTTCTTTCTTGTCTTGGCCCTAACCTCGGTTATTTAAAGGTCGACGAATTCATGAATGCCGATGGATCTTGAACGGCCGGGGGCTTCTTCCCTCGCGATAGGATTGGGTAATCCTATTAGGCTGGATTCTCTCCAAATTTGTTTGTTTTAGTTCCTCCTATGCATCCACGAGGAGGATGAGTCATGGCCCTCGTCTTGGTAATCATCTCGGACATAACCAGCCTAGGGCTTCTGTTGATTACTGTAGATATTTATTAATATAGGTAACACTTTCGTTAGTTTAAAAGAGTTGATGCATTTCGCTTTTAAGGATATTAATATTTATGTTCTTCCATGGGTATTTATTTCATTTTTGCTTCCTTACTACCGAAGATAGGGAAGCTTTTTATTCGTGCAACAGGTTAAAAAAAATAATTGTGCTCAGAATCAAAAATTTTCACTCACGTTTTACGTTTCAGACATCATGGATTAAATTTGGTTCGTCATCTGTCTGTCTGTCTGTAGTCAAATCGATGTAACGGGCATATCACCTATTACCGTTTTATCCAATTTTCATGAAATTTTCAAAGATAGTGCGGGTTAGAATCTATATGGTCCCATATCAATTTTCCAGGCAGCACTTCCGCTTGCGCACGCTTAAATGTATTCTCATAGATATGCCGATATTTCAGAAACGACTCGTTCAATTTACCTCAAAGTTTGATGAAAGGTAGGTATTTAAAAAAAAATAATTTAGTATCAATTTTATTCAATTCCGTCCTCTACTTTCTCTTATATATGCGCAAACTTGTTTTCTTTGATACGGCTATATCTCTAAAATCGCACGTTCAATTCTACTCAAATTTGGAGTAAAGTTATGGATTGGTAAACAGATAATTAAGTATGTATAAATTTTATCAAATTATATCCGCTATTTATGTATCATTTGACACGCCAATAGTTTGAAAACGGTTCGTTCGATTTGATCCAAACTTAGAGGAAGTTTGGAGAATAGTGTAATAATTTCCTAGTATCTTCAAACAGGTATTATAATCAACGTTTCAGATCTCTATCCCATTCTCAGGAATTAACTTTTATTGCTACTAATATTGTTATTTTATTTGGTTGGCCGTGTTACTATTTTTAAGAAATAATAAAATAAATATTATATTTATCCTTCCCAAAATAAAATAATTGAACTTAATGTATCTTTTTGTTTAAAACCGCCATGTAGCTGGTTTACATACTTCTGTTAACATTTCATAAGTTCACTGCAAAACATCCAGGCTGCATTATATATTCGTTTCTACATTCGGATCAATCTATTTGAAAGCTTCCAATGATGCTGACAAATATTTTGCAGTTTATGTTATATTCCGTATTTCCTCTGTTTTTAAAAAGATATTTCGTTCAACTAACCATATTAAAGACAGTAAAATGTATAATATTTTCATAATGATGTAGAGATGGTTGACCGTTGATATGATATGAGAAGGAATTAGTCGAGGGTGCGGTCAAAAAAATAAAAAAAAATTAAAATATATAAATAATTTTAATTTTTGCCGACGTTTCGACCCACTTTGCAGGTCGTCTTCAGGGTTACAAAAGATACAAACATGTTGAAAATATAAAAATAAAATAAAAAATAAATATAAGTATATATAAATTACGAAGAAGTTGTCAGATACAGAAATAAAAGATAAAGAAAATAAATACATGATAAGAAAATAGATAAAAGAAAATAAATACATGAATGTTAACGAATAAATTGATTGAAAATTGAATAACTATTGTTACAGTAAAGTTAAAATATGGATAAGATAACATAATAATAAGATATCAGTGGATAACAAGCAAGTGGAGGTTACCTTTAATTGTAAATAAACAGATAACGGGACCAAAGGTTAAGAAGTGAAGAAATTGAAAGATTAATAGGGTAACATTAGTGTAATATTGTTGGGATAGATTATTAAGTATAAATAACTCTATAAGAAAACAATAATTTTAAAAGAATACTTTAAAATGTAAGAATAAATGTAAAAACAAGGTTATGGTATAATATTTTCTTTACGTCACATGCAGAACCTGGTTAATATAAAATAAAAAAAAATATATGTCAATGCTAACGTTTCCAATCTATAAAATTTCTTTTTAACTTATCGTATAAAATATTTTATTTATCAAGACATGCCTTTCACTTTTTTTCTTTTTTTTTTTTTTTTGCTGGGTATAGTTTAGGCTGAAACATTTTTGGAAAGTTGTACAATAAAAACATTATATTCAGAAAAAATAAAAGTATATCTTAAAGGAAGGAGATGGTCCGGGGTGGCGGTCATAAATAGGTTTCACTTGGAACTGAGTTCCAACTCCTAGCTGAACACATCTCCCTGAAGAAGACCTGCAAAGTCAGGTCGAAACGTTGGCTTTCAATAAAATAGTTTTGCCACTATTTAGCCTATTTATGACCGCCACCTCGGACCATCTCCTTCCTTTATAATGCAACGGTTAACTGTTAAATATTCATAAGTATATCTTAGTTTTATCTTTACCATTAGTATTTTTAAAAAAATGGTTTCTAGTTTGAAAAGGTTAACATTCCCTTCTTTTTATTAATTGACTTTTAAATATAATTCGATATAAACTGATCAGAAAATATTGTACATTTTATGAAGCTCTTTAGGCTGACTTTTGTTTGAATCTAATATATTTAAAAACATGGTGACTATAGATTTTACCGCAATCACGTACAAGAAAGAGCAATGTGAAATGGATGCTCAGAAAACAGAAAAAAAATTAATTTTTTTCAACTTTTTAAATATAGTAAAACACGGGTAAAAAAATAAATAAATGTATTCATGAAATCCTCAAAATTGATACATGTATTGCAATAATACACTAATTAAACACGAATTCTCTTTAGTGTAGGATGTTATTTTAAACCTTTGGTAGAAAAAGATTTCTTTTATTACATTACATGTGGATAGTAGTAATAAATATAGAAATAAAGAGATGAATTATTTGAATCGTATATTTTTGATATTTTATAAGGTGAAAAATGTAAAATAATTCTTTTTTGTCAAGAAATAATATTTATCTGTTAACCTGACTTTCTTCTCCAGGGATATCAATTTTTCACTATGAAATTTCGTTCTCTGCTTTTATGGGTCTTCTTTGGAGAGTAATGCCTCTAATACAGATATTAGACCTCTGAAGATATAAATAGATTGATAGCGTCACTGACGGCGCTCATTCTTTGTTTAGTACTAGTAAAGGTGGTTACGCAGTAAAACTGTAATATATTTTCACTATAGTTCACTGCTTTTACTGAGGGAGCTGTTATCTTTTTTTGGAGTGGGTTTAAACAACTAATGGTTATCATTCCCAGAATAGCAGGATATTCCTGTGAAGTTTGTTCATCTTATATACATTACTATTGGAATGGTAAAATGTATACACCTCACAGTGCTGTTACATTCATAATGGGTTTAGACAAGAAGATTTTTTCTCCACTTAAGCTCTATATGGGGTTTCTCCCGGTTCAGAGGAGAGGATGCTGGAATTAAGCCATAGTTAAAAGTACTTCTGACTCCGGGATTTAAACTCATAAACTTCGTTTTTTCGCAGGTTTCTCCAGGCAACGCATGTTTTTCACTCACGTTTTCCCGCTCGTCCACTCTTCTCCCCAAAGAAGATAGCTTTGTAACATAACTCTCGTGGGTGTAATAGTTGGTTCGGAAGTCAATCAGGAGTTTCTATCTTTAATAACATAGGACTGCAATGATCACTGATTTCGTGGACGATATGGCATGACACATTCTTTGATATTCGGAGGAACAGCGAAAGTATTAGACTCGACATTAATGAGGTTAAAACGTACGATATCGGCAGGGACCCCATGTGAAGGAGTATAAATTGGGCTTTGTTCCTTCCAGCAACTAAAGGAATTTATCAACTTTCTTAACCTCTGATTATTTCCCAAAATGTCCCGGAAATTTAGCGTAAGATTGTTTCCACTAACAGATGTTACTATGGACAACTTTTTGAAGAATTAATTTTTTAAGTTTAGACCGTTATTGTGTGCAAAAGATCTTACTGTTTTTCACTTCGCAGAGAAGTTCTTCTATTTTTATTTCTATTTAAGTCACTTAGAAGTTTGAACTCTGAAAAATTCATTATCAGAACTTTCCTATGTAAAATGTTGCCATAGCCATAAAAGTGACTGAATTTGTTAAGGAAAATTTAAATAAAACAACATTTCGAGAAAATCAGTCCCATATTGAAGAGATTAAAACCTCAAGACACTTACGAGTTGAATTTCTTGCCACTATTGAAAGTAAAAAGTGTCAAAACAATTTCGTTTATTGATCAATATCGTAACTCTTTTCTGTAATCATCAAAATATATATTAATTGTTTTTACTTTTTAGGACTATATTTTAAAAGCTATTTTCAACCCCTTTACAACTCTATATCAATTTAGAATGTCTTATGTGTATTTATTTGAAATTTTCAATTGAAGGAGTATGTGCATGATTCAAATTCGATTTATCTATTGGGTTCGAATTTTATTCATCTCACAATTAATATAATTTTTTTACCAAGTCCTAATCAATGACATTTTTTTATAAATATAAATAAAATACTATAAATTGTAACGATTTCGATATAATTATAACTCGTTGGCTGATTGGTTATAAAAAGGAAAACATCTATTCCTTCTGTATTCTCCTCACTACCAAATCACAATAGATTCAATTTATTATTTACCTGTCTCTAGAAAAAGTATATGATTCCTAATAATTTTGACAAGTTTTAAGTATTTTTCTTTAAATGGTTAGATAGATCTATTTTTTTTTTTGTCATAAAGATAAAAAGATAATTTTAAATATCTCTAAATAAAAAGAGGCTAAAAAAAGAAGATGGTTTTTTTAATATTGGAAACATTATTTTTCTGAATGATTCCGTGCTCACTAAAATTTTCATTTGAACCTAATAGAAATCTAAGATTTTGTATTCAATATTTCATAACTACAATTATTTGTATCACAAGTTTAAACCTCATTGATTATTTATTTTTTTTTTAATTTTACTAAT